ACACGAGCGATTTCCATTGTCTTTCTTTTCCAAAAACCTTTGATGAGGGAGAGAGTAGTAGGTGGATTTCGTTGTGGTGGTGGGGGGGGGGGGGGATCAAAGACTATTTCTATATCTGAGCAGACAATGAGCAGACACGTGCGATTTCTATTTTCTTTCATTTCCATTTAGCCAAACTATGCTACAGCAACGCGTGGCATGGTACAGCTAGTTATATATATGTGTAAGTGGCGGCGTCCGTGGCTTAGGCGTTGCGAGTCCGACTCGTAGTCCAGCATACCGCGATCTAAACCCACTGTTGGCTGCGTGAATTTTTATCATGGTATGGGGCGTCGCAGGTCGACCCAGCCTAAAATGGGTACCAGGATGGGCTGTCCTGGAAAAGTAAAGACAGCCGACGTAATGCTGAGCACATTACCCAACTAGTGCCGATTGGTCTGTAAAAATATGGGCGCTCTTCCCATATGCCCGATACGCCTAAAGGCGTGGAAAGGATCTTTACATGTTATATATATATATATAAGTGGCTGCGGTAGGTCCAACAAGTTACGTGAAACTTTGTCTTAGTCGAGGTTTCAACTTCACTGCAGTTGGATCACCCCATACTCGGGGATCTGTTCTAAATTAGTGGCGGCCAATGGTTTGGGGACTACTTTTTATTGCAGAAATCATTGTCGGTCTACTTTATAAACTGTAAAAATAGACTAATCAAGAGGACCTAACAAACATTGAGCCACCTCGCACGGCTTGCCAGTCGACTAGTAGACCGCGATAGACGCTTTGGTCAACACTGCTCTATCACGGCCGGCTGCAGCTGGCGAGCGGTTCTGCTGACGTCATCGGGTCGGGCTAACGATGCGTATCAAACAAGGAAAAAAAACTATTTTCAACAGTGGCGAGATAAGACAACTTAAATTTTAACTTTTAAGTATCTACATGCCTTTTTTGATTAATTTCATAATTTTTAGCCGACTTTTCTGGATTATTGCCGCGGCACCCCTGGCATTCAATTGGTACCCCGGGTTGCCCTTGCACCCAGTTTGAGAACCGCTGCGTTAACGCATCTTAGCCTGACCCGGTGACGTCAGCAGCACGGCCCGTCAGCTGGAGCCGGTTAATAAACTTCACAGCGATAGTCACAAGCAGGTATAGGGGTCCAGACAACATGGCAGCAATTTAATTAATGTAAGAGTCGATATTTGCAGGATTCCAGTGGATTCACACACCACAACAATACAGGAACAATCGCAGACATGAGAGAGACTTTGTATATTGTTACGTAAATTGTTTATTTTTTAATGTGCAAGTTAGCCCCACAGATATATAACGAGTACTTTCTTATACAAAATATACTAATATGTACTAATTAACAACTTACTAATAGTAAGCTAGTACACACTGTATAATAATACCAAAATTACTATTAATTAAATTTCTTTTGTATTTAGTAGATTGCTCCAAGTATGTAATTCATTTTAAAACGAAAGCATGAAATCTTATTATATACATGTCATCTCATTTAGAAACAAACAATTATCAGGTGAATAAACGTTAAATATGACAAACAAGTACACTCAAAGACACTAAACGAACGTTTAAGAAAAAAAAAAGAAGGAAAAAAAAACAGGACCGTTGAACAAACAAACAAATACAACGGAAACAAGAATACTTAACTTTAAAAGAAATATCCCAAACTACAAAAAGCTATATGACCCGACATGACAGCAAATATTCAGCAGAAAAAAAGGTGGTAACAGTTGTGAGCGATTAAAAATGTACACATGTACACGCATACATACATACGTACACCATCCAACAATTAATACGACTGACTGTATTATGCACAAGACAAAAACACCACCCCCGAAGCAAAGCACTTCATCCAAAGAAGCAACAATTGTCCATGATCTGACAAAACTGCAATGTAGCATGTTCAGCAGACAAAAAGTAATCCGCCATTTTCTTTAGCTGATGAGAGGTGCACGATTACGTATGCAGCGCGTGGAGCAAAAAGCGAACATTAAATTCCATTTTAAACTTAAAAAAAAAAAAAAAAAACTTTAGGATAGTTGAAATGATGAGACAGTTGTATAGAAATCAATGTTACAGCATGGTTGCATACAAAGATATTTTGGTCGCTGGTGAATAATAGATGTTCCCCTCAATGTTTAGACAGTGTCCTGGTTCAGTTTTCAGCAATTGTAACGAAGTTTTTCTCTTAGTTTTAATTGCTCTCGGTTACTTTTTTTTTTTTCAAAGATTCCTAACGCTTATTAACACTTTGTAACTGGAGTTCTGCTACGAGGTTAATAATAGGTTAGTTGCGTATCATTTACATCATCAGTTCTCGTTATGTCTAGTGGCACATGAGGCTTCAGAGAGGACTTTCCATGCTTTCCTGTCCTGTGCAATCTTCAGTGCAGTTTTCCATGTCAAAGATGCCGCACTCAGGTCACTTTCCATCGTTCGTCTCCATGTTGTTTTTGGCGCCCCTGTTTTCTCTTTCCCTCTGGTGTCCATGTGAGAACTGTTTTGGCAGGTATATCAGAAGTCATTCTCATAACGTGGCCAAGCCATTTCCATCTTCTCTTGGTAATCATACTGTCTAAAGTTTCTTGGTTTGTGACTTGAAGTAGTTTAGTGTTTGAGATTGTATCTGGCCAGAAAATTTTGATAATTCTACGTAGACATGTGTGGTGGAAGATGGACAGCTTCTGTGCATCCTTTTTGGTCATTTTCCAGCATTCCGCTCCATAAAGAAGAACTGGCAAAATGATGCTCTTGTAGAGTCGGAGTTTTGTTTCTCTGCAGTAATTGTTGGATTTCCAGATTTGCCTCATCCTTCCAAAAGCAGCTCTATCTTTGTTCAGGGGTGACTGTATGTCTTCCTCTCTCCCTCCCAGTACAGGACGTTGCAAAACCAACCCCAACAGCCCCTGGCTTGGTGCGGTTTTTCTAGGCAACTTAACGTCTAGTTTGCCATTGTTTACTTCACAGTCGGCTTTCTTGATACCGAAACCGATGTCGAAACCAATGCAAGGCGCATGGTCCGCAGTTGGGATCGACCCTGGCATCCCGGCATTACGAAGCGTTCGCATCGACTTAGCCACAGAGCCGAGATTTCATTGCACTCTATTACTGGCTCTTGTATTTTTAATTCATTTTATTCAGGATGGGACAGTCACACGTCAATCTTGATCAGTCGCTTCTCAAGACATGAGTGATAAGTTACCATGTTACTATTCTGTATTTCCATTGTGCGCGATAGTAATACAAGAAGGGATTATATTCATTTATCATTACCCTAATGATCGAGCACGGACTGTAGAAGAAGGCAGAATGTGGAAGAAATATCACTATGTATTTAATTCTCTTTGTCATCCCCTTGCCGGATGCAATTTTTCGTTACTTTTAAGACCACCTAGGCCGAAATATAGCCTAACGGTTGAACGTGGATTCCGGGACTTTTCCACGTGTTATCCTCATCCGCATGGTGGCACTTGGTGTCACCGGGTGTTTATCGCTGTGTGTGATGTCCTGGTGGGATACAACTTACTAACTATATCACTACGCAAGCAATACCACACACATCCAACAAGTGAGGGGAAGTAACCAGTAGAATCAAGAAGCCCGACAAGAGGATTAAGGTGTCTTGGCCTTTTGGCCTAGATCAAAGTGTAGCTCGGCTGGGATCGGCCACAAACCCAGTCACATGGGAAACCCATTCGGCAAGAGCAATCTTGAAAAATACAAACGTTTGCCGGGCGGTTTCCCCGTCCAGCATTTACTGTTGTTGGTTAGTTGCGTATCCTTTACAGGACGTTGTGGAACCAACCCCAACAGCCCCTGGCTGTTGTGGGCTGTTGTGCGGTTTTTCTAGGCAAATTTACGTCCAGTAGTTTGCCATTGCTTCTGAACGGTCGGCTTTCTTGATGCCACTGTCGAAACCAACGCAAGGCGCATGGCCCGCAGCTGGGATCGAACCTGGCATCCCGGCATTACGAAGAGTTCGCATCGACTTAGCCACAAAACCGACCCAGCCTGGATTACCGACGTAATATCCTTTGGGTAGTCGGGCGGCCAGCCAGGGGAGACTGAACTGGTGATCAAGAAAAAGGACAAGAGGAATCAGTGGAACAAGTCTAAAGTAATATATATGAATTTATATGGATTCGAACCCAAGATTCGTCTAGCTCTGCACAAACCACAGCTCCTGCAAGATAATTATAACATTGAACTTACACAACAATAAATGCCGTACGATAAAACTATGAAACCGACTCATAATGATTATGCAAAAAGTCCTTTGCAGAAGGTGGTTCTCATCACAGGCAGGAAGCTACATGGTCCCTAATTTGAGAATGTTCGTGCCCTAGGGTATTACCATTCAATTAAGTTTAAAGGGACCTAAATTGTTGACAACTGGAATCACCATGGGTCATAGGCCCGAGCCTCGGCGTATAAAGATTATTAATACAATACAGTTAGCAGTGATCCGCGAGCCACCTGCTCAGCCTACGCGGGCCACATTCGGTCTGCTGGCCGCCAGTTGAATAGCCCTGCCCTAGAGTTTCTTTGATATCCTGTGTACACTCTCATTGCTGCTCTCTGCAAACCATTATCGCATGTAATATAGCTTAAATATTTCAGTCTCCATGTAACAATGCCGTCTATGCCCTGTGATATCCTGTGTGCGTACTCTTTGCTGTTCTCGTCAAACTAATATTGTGTTTAAAATGGATGAAATACGTATTTAAACCTCTTGAAACTTATGCCTTCTATAAGCTAACACCCAAACCTCCCCAGCACCCCCCCCCCTCCCTTTTTTTCCCCTGTGCTCAAATGCTGAAGACTATCAGTACTTTTTCCCTTCTTGGTCCAAGATTCTCCTAGAAATTCCACGAAGCGATAAACTGACAAGCGTCGAATAATAAACTAATGTATATTGTATGATAAAATAATATAATATAATCATAAACTGAAAGCATAGTAAAATGACTCTAGATGCTGATGCTGTTGGGGATAATTCTTGGATGTATATACTCGTACAAGTTGCCTCTGTGTTGGTTTCTCTCATCGATTATCTTACCAATGCGTTGAACCTCTTGCGGAATCTACATGCAGAAGAAGAGTGCAGCAAAGTTAACACACAGGATCTTTGTCGACCTAGCTAAAAGTGGGTACCAGGAAGTATCCTGAAAAATGAAGGCAGCCGGGTGATTCTAACCACATCTCGTGCCGATCTATCTATAACAGTGGTTTCCCTGGCGTCCCCTTGGGTATATGGGAAAGACCCCCGCCCCCCCCCCCCACCCCCGCCCCTCGCTCTGTCATTTGTGTAGTTTTGTAGTCTCATCTCCAGCTGAACTTTATAGATTGTTTTACGGGTGTATTTGGCGTTTTAAAGCTCTGAGACAGATGGGCTGCATCTGCATGAGGTTTCCTGTAGCCTTTCCATATCTAGGTGAGTCGCCGTGGCAGCGCAGCTAGAAGCCGCCGTGGATCGGAAGGTCGTGGGTTCGCTCCCTGGCGGAGCCGACTTTAAAAAAAATGAACTTGGCTCCCAGGTCGACCCAGCCTTGAATGGGTACGGGGTGCAGTCCCATGAAGTAAAGGCGGCCGGTGTGATGCTGACCACATCAACAACCTTGTGCCGATTGGTCTATAAAATGTAGGTCTTGCCCTATATGCCCTATATTCCTAAAGGAGTGGAAAAGGGTCCTTTACTTTACATTAAATTCCATGTCTAGGAATCCACAGTGGGGTGAAATGTATAATTTCATAGCTGTTAATGTCCTGTTCAGAGCGTAAGATGGTTTGGTGGGATTGATTTTACGTTTGTGGTTATGACAGCTTTTAATTTTTAGTTTAACTAGATTATTGGGAGACTGCACAGTTCAAAGTAGGATTGCTGCCTCTGCTCTGAAGTCGGTGCAAGCGGCCCACGCCGAACAGAGTGCATCTCTGTGTTACAGTCAGTGTGTGTAATGTAGATTCGACCAACTCCTTTTTGTGGCTTCTTTACCAATTTCTATAAGTATGTATACATGTTCAAATATTGGAGGGAAACTGATTTCTGACTATATAAAATGAAAAAGCTTTGTTGTGATTTTTTTTTAACTTATATATTTTTTTTAAAGATTACTCCTGGAACTTGAAGAACTGTACTGGATAAGACTGGACAGTTACTCTCTAGTTCAGCTGTGAGAGCTTGACATAATATTATGTCAGTCCTGATATATGCATGTTGTGTCAGTTTATCTTGGAAACGGATTTATACTTTTTCTTAAAATCTATGGTTAAGCAAAAAGCCTTTGAAGCTTTTCAAACTAGTTAAGGGATGTGTATTGTCGGCAGGGACTGCTTCTTATTCCTCCGTGAGTTATTCGTAAGCTCATATTCTGAGCCTCGAATAAGTTTCCAAATTTGTTTTAGCTGATTCAGCCCAGGAGATTAAGGCGTTTTTTTTATAATAGGCGTTTTCCATAAAATGCCGACCTGATCTAGTCTAGACTAAAATTAATGTTTTTGTACTACCTCTCCAGTATCTTTTATCCAGTTTTTTTTTTTTACAAGCACGTTGGATACATTTTGATTTAATTTTCTCTTTATCTGTGTTTGGCTTCCTAGTAAGCCTGAGTCTAGTGTAATAGCCCTCCCAACCCTAAAAAAGTGGGTAGATATATGATACTGGTTGATCTTTAAACATGAAGAAAAATTTTTTATTCGTGCGGATGAGCGAAAATATACTGCTTCAGTTAGTTTTTTGTTCGTTTTAGTTTTTAGACTAATATTACTGAGCTTCCGTTGTCGGTAGTTTTCTCTCTGTTGTCATAGAATGTTGGACGGTGTAACCAAATCTGTCCTTTCACAATGTGCCAGCGACTTCGGACGGTGTAATCAAACCTGTCCTTTCACAATGTGCCAGCGACTTCGGACGGTGAAATTAAACCTGTCCTTTCACAATGTGCCAGCGACTTCGGACGGTGTAATCAAACCTGTTCTTTCACAATGTGCCAGCGACTTCGGACGGTGTAACCAAACCTGTCCTTTCACAATGTGCCAGCGACTTCGGACGGTGTAACCAAACCTGTCCTTTCACAATGTGCCAGCGACTTCGGACGGTGAAATTAAACCTGTCCTGTCACAATGTGCCAGCGACTTCGGACGGTGAAATTAAACCTGTCCTTTCACAATGTGCCAGCGACTTCGGACGGTGTAATCAAACCTGTCCTTTCACAATGTGCCAGCGACTTCGGACGGTGTAACCAAACCTGTCTTTTCACAATGTGCCAGCGACTTCGGACGGTGTAACCAAACCTGTCCTTTCACAATGTGCCAGCGACTTCGGACGGTGTAACCAAACCTGTCCTGTCACAATGTGCCAGCGACTTCGGACGGTGTAACCAAACCTGCCCTGTCACAATGTGCCAGCGACTTCGGACGGTGTAACCAAACCTGTCCTTTCACAATGTGCCAGCGACTTCGGACGGTGAAATTAAACCTGTCCTTTCACAATGTGCCAGCGACTTCGGACGGTGTAACCAAACCTGTCCTGTCACAATGTGCCAGCGACTTCGGACGGTGTAACCAAACCTGCCCTGTCACAATGTGCCAGCGACTTCGGACGGTGTAACCAAACCTGTCCTGTCACAATGTGCCAGCGACTTCGGACGGTGTAACCAAACCTGCCCTGTCACAATGTGCCAGCGACTTCGGACACAGAAGTGCATAGAGGAGGAGACTAACCTTACTAGTGCTAGAACGATAAAAGGCAATCTACAAATTATTATGGCAGGGCAGAACAGACTCGTAGCCTTAGTCGGCAGTTAGTCTATGATGGAAAGACAGAACATTACTCTTTTAATGCGGCAGCTTCTGCAGCAGCTTTGTTCCTTACGCATTGGTGTCACATTTCCCTTTAAGTATACCAGACGGGCCAAAAGAGGGATCAATTTGGATGCGCAACACCTGACCTCTTCATTATCGCCTAGGTTTTTTTTTTTTTTTTTAATACTGGCGATGATGAATTTCTATAACACAATATAACATTATCGTCTTGAAAAATGAAAAGGTCAATGAAGTTAAAACCCAACTCTTGGCCCAGTTCTATACTTTCCCTACTGACGAATGAAGCGGACAGTAGGCTGTTGTGGTTATTTCAGTGGCCGTCTAAACAGCAAAGTCATGTACAAGCATTGGTTCTACATAGGTTTTGTTCATGTAGGTTGTTGAAGACTTGCTTTGCTAGTGACCGTATTTAGTAATGTCAGTTATGTAAATCACAAAGAACCTTGCAGACTTCCTATCTGTTTTACTGACTGAACAGCTGAATAATCAGTACAGCTAAAGATGTTATACATTCGAGTCTCTTATTCAAAATACTTGTCGTGAGTAACAGCTGCCTTTAGAAGTTTCAGCCTAGCCATCATTCCACTCAGTTTCAAAGTATGGGAATGTTAAAATATCACTAAAGAATAACATATTCTTTAACGAGGAGGATGAATATGATTGGCTGTAACATAATTTCTTTGCTTATTTTTGAAAATTAAGCAATCACTGCGATTTTGAGCTGTTATTATTCTCTCCCCCACCCCCCCTTCTTTTCCTGTCTTTATTTTATTTACTACTTTTCAGTTGCACCTGAGACTGGCTGCCACCGCTAGGCCCCAGCGCCCCCCCCCCCCGCTCCGCTCCCCCACCCGAAAAAAAAATGTTTGACTGAGCTCGCTACTGCCCTTTGGACCGTCCCAGCGCCCACGGGGAGGAGGGGGGGGGGGAGTGGCAGCGACTACTTTGGGGAAACACTGGTCTTGTACTATATACCTGATGGTCCAGGTGTATCTTTTCTTCGTGTTCACCAGCTGTACAACTGCTGAGGAAAGTTCTTGTTGTTCGTCCATTTCTTGACTTTGATCTTGTTTCAGAACTTGAGTTTTGCGTGCGCATTCGTTCAGCAGATCTGACTTATTTGTATGCAGACAGTTGATTCTTATTTGTATGCAGACAGTTGATTCCTCGCTTCTCAGACATCGGCACTCTGACTTCAATGGAAATTCCCATAACTAGTCCTACAAAGGATTGCAACGAACCGCCATGCATGGAGAGTCATGACCTCTGCCCTATGTGCCGCACTCGACACAAGAGGAAAGACTAACTAACTAAGTCGGCTTGCACGAAATAATCTTGGAATGTGAGCAAATAAATTAACCAGAGTTGGGAGGCAACTGAGATGTGATTCTTGGATAAGAATGTAGAGAATACATTGGACTGCCAGTTAACTAACAATGATTGCTTGGCTAATGAAAGTAGTGTGATGAGAAAAGGAGCACTGGAAAATATCGTGACCACTGGATTGATCACTGGTAGAGAGGCAGAGGTAGACCAAGAGAAATGACGGTGGATTGCTGAAGACAGTGGCATGGATAAATGTCATCAGTCTAATTGATCCAATTGAAGTCCAAAAACCGAGATCTGTATAGATGCATGCACGTCTACGCCAGCTGGCAAGGCGATGAACTACATTTGTGGGGAGTGGGGGTTAGCGGGTATATTCTATCTTCCTCCACAATGAGACCCCGAAATCCACACGGACAGCTTCACTGGTATGAAATGGGGTCTTTACAGGTTTACTATGCGGTAATTACAAAGGGCCAACAGTTACTGCAGAGGAACGAAACTTCGACTCTACAAGAGCATTATTTTACCAGTTCTTCTTTATGGAGCAGAATGCTGGAGAATGACCAAAAAGGATACACGCAAGCTATCCACCTTCCACCACACATGTCTACGTAGAATTATCAAAATTTTCTGGCCAGATACAGTCTCAAACACTAAACTACTTCAAGTCACAAACCAAGAAACTCTAGACAGTATGATAACCAAGAAAAGATGGAAATGGCTTGGCCATGTTATGAGAATGAATCCTGATATACCTGCCAAAACAGCTCTCACATGGATACAAGAGGGAAAGAGAAAAAAGGGGTGCCCAAAAACAACATGGAGATGAACGATGGAAAGGGACCTAAGTGCGGCATTTTTGACATGGAAAACTGCACTAAAGATTACACAGGACAGGAAAGCAGGGAAAGGCCTCTCTGAAGCCTCATGTGCCATTAGGTATAAAGAGAATTGATGATGATAAATTACAAAGGGGAAGCAGGTGATTAGCTCCCTTACACATGTTCTAGGGCACGGGGCGGCATGGACGCCTGAACCTGGTGAGTTCAGTCTCAGTCTGAGCTCGATCGCCCACTTCTCAATACCTTTTAGGGAGCAGAACCTCTCCTTTATACATCATTTATAGAAGTTCTCATTGTGCTCATTTGTTTATACATTTCAAATTATTTCAGTTACATTATTTTTTTTAGTTTTACTATTATTATGCCATTCACCGCACAAGATGTAGCAGACAGCAGTATTTTCGTTATATTTGACATCACACAAAAACTAGTCATCTCCTTGTGAGATGCAATTTTTCGTTTTTTTTTAGGCCCCACCCTAACTCTTGCCTGGGGCCGCAATATCGCCCGGCCATAAATATGGTCTAATGGCTGAACGTGGTTTCCGGGACTTCTCCATGTGTGATCCTCATCCACATGGTGGCACTTTGTGTCATCGGGTTTGATCACTCTGTGTGATGTCCTAGTGGGGTAAAATGTACTACTACTACTACCTACCCCACTCTGTCACATGATTAGGCGCGCACACGCGCACACGCGCACACACACACACACACACACACACACATTTGGCAGCCCGTCTATACTTTTCCTTCTGCCAAGGATTGAAGAGCACTGTTACGGATTTTGTCAGAGGAGGCGACTGGCACAGAAGAAGTTGAGGTGGTTTTTTGGAATTTGGGTTACATAGAGGTAATACCACAACTCCGTCTAATATAAAGAAGCAATATATATATATATATATATATATATATATATATATATATATATATATATATATATATATATGTGTGTGTGTGTGTGTGTGTGTGTGTGTGTGTGTTTCTGACCCCAAAGCCTTAAAACCTGTCGGCTCAGACACCCTGAGCGCCCCTCCTCCCCCCTCCAAATCCAACCGCCTCAGTAATGTTCACAGGGTCTGTGCCCCCCCCCCCCCCTCTTTTTTTGTGATTTACGCGCAGACAATCTGTAGAGCAATACATCTTCTCCCACAGCAACTATACATTTATCTTTTAAAGTATTTGTTATATATTTCAAATATGATATTATTTTGATTGTTTTTACAATTTATCATTGTGGAGCAATTTAACAAGTCTTAAGCTACGTGTTGCCCACTCCCACCCTTTTTTCCTCCCTCCATTACTAGAAAATTATATATGCCCCCCCCCCCCCATGTTTCCTCGTGGTGGCGAGCCTAGCTGCCCCCTTCTACAAACCCTATTCCACGCACACACGCGCGCACGCATGCACATACACACACCAAAGTGTGTCGCGTCGCTTGGTACCGGCTGAGATTAAATACATTTGTAGCAATGTCAAGAAAAGAATGGCTTCTTTCCCGTCTGACTCAGATCCCTACATCACAGAACACACCTAAACGAGGTCTGGGTCAGATCCTGATTCGTGGTATGTGTGGGATCATCTAAACCATGGTTTTCAAACTGAGGGTTCCCGAGAGCCATATGGGTCACATCTGTGTTGTCACAAGGGCACACACGACATGCGAAGGCTCGAAAGCAGACAACAAGCATCTGTGCAATGCCTGATCTATACAATCAAACGAACGAACGAACGAACGATCTTTATTTTTAAAGGGTTAAGAATTGGGCACGCAGGCCCGTCTAACATTCTGCCCTTCGAGGTCTCCCTCCATTCTTACATCATTTCATTCACACATCAAGTAATATTAAAAGTTAGCAATAGCATCAAAATAATCAATACAAGCACTGGAATGTGCACATTTCTAACTACAGTAAAACGTATTAGTTGTAACAAATCTAAGAAAAATGAGCGCTATTTTTTCACATATGTTTTATCTTCTATGGGGGCATATAATCGGTGCTCAGATAATATTCGAACAGTTTCCGATTGTATGTATATGGACTAGTGGCACTTTTGATTTGCTGTGGTAGATAGTTCCACAAGTGAGCTGCGGAATATGACAGACTTGTTTTATAAAGGTCTATCCTAGGTTTAGGGATGTGTAATATGTTTAGACGCTTACTATGCCGTTCATTATATTTGAACAACGGCCATAAGTAACAGGGAGCCTTTTGAGATAATATTTTGTAAGTATATTTTGCCTTATTGAAAAGTAGACGTTCACGAAGCGGTAGTAGTCTAAGACCTTTATATGTTTCGGAGCTCAGTGTTCCATGATTGTTACTAATTAAGCGAATGGCGCGCTTTTGCAGTGATGTGAGTCGCTTGATAACAGAGCTGGAACAGCCATCGCATATTGTAGAGCAATAGTCTACATGTGTCTGGATGTGAGAAATATAAAATATCTTTCTTGTGTGTTCATCAAGAAAGTTTTTAATTTTTGCAAGCTGGTAAACCTTTTTAGCTGTTTGCTTCACAAGTGCTTGTACATGTGAGTTGAATGTTAGATTTGCATCAATTACCAACCCCAGTGTCTTGTGCTCAGTTACATTTTCTACTTGAGTGCGCCCAATGTAGAGTTGAAGCGTTCTCTGAGAATTTAAACTGTATAGTTTTTGCCTAGTCGTTATTAGCATAGATTTGGTTTTATTAATGTTTATTTGCATACGGTTTGCACTGCTCCATTGGACTACAACTGAATCAGAAGACAACGTGTGTGCGTGTGTGCGTGTGTGTGTGAGACTTTCTCCCAGAACCAAACCAAAACACTAGACAATGTGTGTGAGATTGTTCTAAACAACAAAACCAATCATCAGACAATAAGTGCGTTTGTGTGTGAGAGATTGTTCTAAACAACAAAACCAATCATCAGACAATAAGTGCGTTTGTGTGTGAGAGATTGTTCTAAACAACAAAACCAATCATCAGACAATAAGTGCGTTTGTGTGTGAGAGATTGTTCTAAACAACAAAACCAATCATCAGACAATAAGTGCGTTTGTGTGTGAGAGATTGTTCTAAACAACAAAACCAATCATCAAACAATAAGTGCGTTTGTGTGTGAGAGATTGTTTAAAAAATAAGACACACTCTATATGTGTATGTATGTGAGAGAGAAAATATGTGTGTGTGTGCGTGCGTGCATGCGTTGTGCGTGTGTGTTCTATGCAATCGTCTGCGCGTATGTGCATGCAAATAACGGTAAGAAGTAAGAAATCAGGAGCCACATACCTGTTGACGATGTCTACAGCTGCAGGATCAAAGATATACTGCACCTCAAAGTCCCCGAGACTGTTGGTGCCCTTGGTGCTGAGGATCTTCATGATGCTCATGACGTTCAGCATCTGGCTTCTATCGGTCAGGCTCTCAAGCAGGTCCTTCTCCGTTATCTCCACAGTCTGTAACCCAGTGTTTTCAACTGCTAGACTACGTCTCACTGCTTCTTTTTTCACCGTTTATGCCTTTCTATATTCTATACTTTCCCTAATTGTATCTGTCTGAGCTGAGTTGAGATAACCCAAGAACCGACATCACAGCATTCGGGGTATTCCCTTAAGCGCCCCGTTCGTCCCCATGTTCAACAGCTAGCGCAGAGTTCCAACACCAGTGGTGCCAATAGCATTCTAATATACGTCCGTATTGCCTTTCCTCTGAGCGTCGAGTATCAGCAAGATCCCCTAATCACTCCCCCTCTGAATCACTCTCACCAGACTGTGGTGATTCATTTGCTCCTCCAAATTGTACACGTTCTCACACAAGGCCCTAACACGTCTGCCTTATCACGCATCAATAATCTACCAAGCTGTGCAGAGCCAGCCAGTCTGTATGCCTGTTCATTTCCCAGTATTTGTCTTAAATCATTTTCTCTTTGTCACCCCCCTCCCCCTCCTTCCCTACTTTTTGCTTCCTGCACTTTTTTCCTGCCCTTGCAGATTTTTCGTCTTCATCCTTATTGATGTTGTTGACTTTTTCATCCTTATATTCCTTCGTCCTCAGATTTCTGTCAGTTGGGTCTCTTTATGTATGCTCTCTCTCTCTCTCTCTCTCTCTCTCTCTCTCTCTCTCTCTCTCTCTCTCTCTCCCTCCCCCCCTCTCTCTCTCCCTCTCTCTCTCATTGCTAATCTGCTTTATTTCTATTATTTGTTTTTTTCTTATATACACTTGTAAATTTTGAAGCTTCCTTTAATCGTCATGTTTTATTCCTCTATTCTTACATTCTCTAACGACTTTCGGGAGATAAAAGCGCAGACTACACAAAACTTTAGAACAGCCAGATGCAAGACACACTTATGAAGAACAACCAGATGCAAGACACACTTATGAAGAACAACCAGATGTAAGACACACTTATGAAGAACAACCAGATGCAAGACACACTTATGAAGAACAACCAGATGTAAGACACACTTATGAAGAACAACCAGATGTAAGACACACTTATGAAGAACAACCAGATGCAAGACACACTTAAGAAGAAAATAAAAACCCAGATCCATGCTGGCATTAGAAGTCGTTGGAACTCTTCCAATCCAGAATATAATCCTCGGGACCCAATTCTTTCACTGTATTCAGATTTTGGCCTGGACACAGCAGACTTCACAACTATATGTACAGGAAATTCGAGATTAGGGACTGGGAACTTTGCCTTTGTAACCAAGCACAGCCTATGCAGAGACTTGCACCCTTCTGATCTTAAAACTGCTAGGAGGGAGAACGAAAAGAAGTAAGAAGATAACTGCTTTTATTAATTTTTATTTTATTTTCTAAGTCTCCTCTTTCTTTGCCCCTCATAACAATTTGTATTTCGTTGTTTTATTTTTCCTGCGTGTAATCTCCTTTCTTTCTTATTAACTGGTCTCTCTCTTTGTCTACATGCTGTGTCAAGCTGCTATGGCTATTCTAAAAGGCACATCCATACTGATGCCAACCCAAACTGCACAAAGCAACACTGTCACAGATATTTACTAAAGGTTTGCACAAACAAACGCACTCCATATTAATCGACCTGCACACTAATGCACATCCAACATTACTTCACTAACGCGAGCAACATTACTTAACCCAACCCCCTTCCCCGAACATACACACACACACACACACGTATATACATATACACGCCAACGAACACATCCCACATACCGCACTGATTGGCGGTTTGCCTTTCATCATTGCCGGGTACTTGGGAGGGAAGCCGTACTCTTCATACTGGGGAAAGTTGGCCGAGCCGTGCCCAACACTGCAAGTGTAAATGATGCTGGTGACAATCTGTGTTAGTTGGGCTTTAGTGGTGATGTTCCCATCGCCCGGAATACCCTGCAGATAGATTTTCCAACGTACTTTTATGATCATGACATATTGTTGATCTGGATTTGAAGAAGAAAAAAATATTTTCTTGGAATAAGCTGAGGCACTATACTTCTATCCCCCCCCCCCCCCCCCGACGAAGAAGAAGAAGAAGAAGAAGAAGAAGAAGAAGAAGAAGAAGAAGAAGAAGAAGAAGAAGAAGAAGAAGAAAGAAAAAAAGAAATAACCCTAAACACCTCCCCCCTCTCCCACTTAACAATATAGGTCTTTCCAGGAAATTATATAGGAATTCCCTACGAAATCTCAGAGCCCTGTAGATGAGGTGAAATAAAAGAATAGTACCTAAGGTGGTATTTGTAATTTTGTTTCAGCATGAATACACTGTCTTCTGTCAGTATCACACACTTAGGGTGCCTCATTCAGTACGAACATCTGCACGAATTTAAGCAACATCTCTGCTGTGTTACTGTTCCATATTCAAGTTTGACCCAAATATCTGCTGTATTGCTAATTTATTTCTGCCTCAATCATGTTATACTGTTGCCCCACGAATCACCTTTAGCCTCAATCCCTGCTATATTACTGCTCCCCATACCAATTTTTGCCACACTCTTGCTGTATTACTACTCCACAAACCATCGTTGCGTGTACCCTTGCTATATTACTGCTATAGAAACCAGATTTACCCATACCCTTGCTGTATTACTGCTTTATGCACGAACTTGCCTCACAACCCTGCTCCACACACCAAATTCATTCACAGCCGTGCAACATAACAACTCCATCTACGAGTCACGGTTCTGGACCGCATTCCAGCTGAAGACGCCATCCCCGAGCCTGGTTGTAAACAACATTCAACACGACTAGATACTTTAGTTCGCTGGTAAAAATCACCTTGATTCCTATGCCGCCCGCAGAACCAGCTCGTTCCTTGACTAATTCCTGGGCCCAATTCTGGAGTTCGTAGTCGGCTTTAAGCACTTCCGGGGAAGCTGAAAACACAAGAGTCAAAACCTGAGCTGTTGAGAAATATCCTAGCTATTCTGAACAGCAATTATCACCCTAACATTGGTGGCTCGATGGTCAAATTTTCAAATTCTCAACTGAGTGGATAATAACGAAATGAACCCATAACCTTCAGAGCGCGAGGCAAACGGCTTAACCATTTCGCCTTGTTAAATCTAATGAATGCAAAATTATAACAACAAAGATTAGTTATGTCTTAGCAATGACATCTCAACAGAGATATCGTAGAAGAGCTGTCGATGTAAGAAGAAGAGGTGTATTTGGGGAAATAATGAAGACATGAGAAGTAGATAAGGTCTGAAATTTTTTTTTTATAATATGAAAAAAAATAAAAAAAATATTGGGCTCAGATCTCACACCAGTCTAAAATGGATATCGAGAACATCCTAGGAATTCAATCTGATCGGCGTGCTATTGAATATGTCATCTAACAAGTGTTAGTAATCTATTTTTCTCCTTCTTAACAGTGACAAGCTGTAAACGATGGGTTACAGATCTGGGTGTTCGTCCACTTCTGGTCTTTGGTCTTGTTCTAAAACTTGAGTTTTTCAAGCAAATTCATTTAACATATTCTGTCACATTAAGGGAAAACATGAATACATTGTGACAACTGGAAAGATGGAGGCGACGAGAGGCAGAAAGAAACCAGTTGATAAAATGTTATAGTCTGGTTTCCTGGCATGGAGTAACGTTTGCATCAAAACAATAACAGTTCAAGATCGTTCCGCTAGTTTGATCGAAAAACAAAAATCCTAACGTTCAACCACCACCCCGAAGGGGGGGGGGGGGGGGGCTTTAGGTTATAATTGTGACTAGATTATGTGCGCCACATAAAATGGCTTAGCTTTACGCGCCAGCAAGAACCATGAAAAGGTTTCCTGCAGTGTTGATGTGATCAAAGGAGACAGACCCAGATACTGTCCTGACTGGCGACGAAGTCGTCAACCGGCCGATGATGACACATGCAGCAGTGTAACAGAAACATCGCATATACATACAGCAAATCAACAACAGAGAGACGGGACAAAAACAGTAGTGCGACTAAACATTTCAAACACATACAGCAAATCAACAACAAAGAGACGGGACAAAAACAGTAGTGCGACTAAACATTTCAAACACATACAGTAAATCAACAACAAAGAGACGGGACAAAAACAGTAGTGCGACTAAACATTTCAAACACATACAGCAAATCAACAACAAAGAGACGGGACAAAAACAGTAGTGCGACTATACATTTCAAACACATACAGCAAATCAACAACAAAGAGACGGGACAAAAACAGTAGTGCGACTAAACATTTCAAACACATTCAGCAAATCAACAACAAAGAGACGGGACAAAAACAGTAGTGCGACTAAACATTTCAAACACATACAGTAAATCAACAACAAAGAGACGGGACAAAAACAGTAGTGTGACTAAACATCTTAAACATATTCAGCAAATCAACAACAAAGAGACGGGACAAAAACAGTAGTGGGACTAAACATTTTAAACACATTCAGCAAATCAACAAAAAAGAGACGGGACAAAAACAGTGGTGCGACTAAACATTTCAAACACATTCAGCAAATCAACAACAGAGAAGCGGGACAAACACAGCAGTGTGACAGAAACATCGCAAATGCCTAGCTGACCATGCTCTTTGTTCACTTGTTTCCATAGCGAGGCGAAAACGTTATTTGGAAGTGAAAGGTTCGATTGTCAGCACCGTAACTATAGCTTTCGATTTTTATGTTGTCTAGTGTGTTATTCTATCTTTCTACTTCTTTTTTTTTTTTTTTCTGAGAGCCGGTCGATACATTGTCTTTTGCTTATTGCACTGAAAAAGATAAAGTAACACACATGGGTGCTGACACAAAGAAAACACTGCTTTGGTCTGTCATTCCGATTAAGATCTCCTGAACTCAGGGTGTCATTTTCAAGTGGCAGCTAGTTTTTATCAATATAACTCTCCCCAGATCCCCCCCCCCCACAACCCCCCCCCCCCCCTCCATCCCCCAAATCGTGCTATACCTGAATGCGAGTTGGAAATTATATATCCACTGCTACCGGTAAAAATATTAGTTAACTGTGGAAATATTAGATAACTGTGGAAATATTTGCTAACTGTGGGACTATTATTAAGTGTGGAAATATTGGCTAACTGTGGGAATATCAGCTAATTGTGGGAATATCAGCTAATTGTGGGAATATCAGCTAATTGTGGGAATATTCCCAGTGAGAATACTAGTTAACTATGGGAATATTAGCTAACTGTGGAGAATTACATGGTGAAACCCAAATCTTCTCCACGCCTCTCGTTTGCCTGAAAGCCACGGGAGCGCTCTGGTTATTTTTTTTCTCCCCAAAACGGCCCCCAAGGGAATCGAACCCTAGCAAACGACGAGCACTGCATTGTGAAACCATGTCATCAACAAAGCCATAGAGCCTCAACGGACAAAACAAGAAAGTAAATGAAAAACAAGAGATGTGATGTCACCTTGACACTTACCATAGTAGAGATCGACATAGTCTTGAACATATTTCTGTATAGCGGTGTAAATCAGCAGTGCGTCATCTCTGTAGTGATAGCCGGGCAAGACGGTTTCATCTTCCACCTACATGGAAGGATAACAATACACGTGAAAGTGTGTCAGGTAGAAGCAATAATGAGGTTGAAACATTCATGAATGAAAGACATAAAAACACTAGACTGCAGGACACACACAAACACACTGTTGCCTACGCTCTGTCTTTCTGAATGTATGGCTGGCTGGCTGTGTGTGTGTGTGTGTGTGTGGTGTGCGTGGGGGAGGGTGGTGAGTGTGTGTGTGTGGTGTATGTGGGTGTGTTGGGTAGTGTGCGCGTGTGTGTGTATGGGAGTCGCCGTGCTGTAGCGACTAGACGCTCGCCTGAGGATCAGGCTTTTTTTTTACAAATGACCTCTTTTCTCAGGTCGACCCAGCCTTGACTGCGTTCCTGGTGCAGTCACCCACCAATTGCCGATTGCTCTATAAAATACAGGTCTATGTGCCCAATAAGCCTGAGGGCGTGGAAAATGGTCCTTTGCTTTAGATATATATATCCATTTAACACCATTAAATTAACCGGTGAGACATATTTGATGGCAGGCCTAAGGGGGCTTGCCCATAGACAGTGATTCTAAAAAGGGCTTTACAAATCACATTGATTTGGAACGACTTGTTTACAGTAACAGAAATTACCCCACGCTGTTTGAGATCCTCGGGCAAAGTCCCGTGAACATCCATTCTCCAGCGTGCAAAGCTGAAATCAAACACATATCAAACGTTAAGAACAAGAAGAATGTTTGTACAGATAAGATTAATTTAATCCTCAGTGGATAGTTACATCTGTGACTGCAACAGTTAAATGGTATGACTGAACTTATCACCTTGTGATGTGTTTGTTTGTTGGTTTCCACTTAGGAGATTTCCTAAACTCGCTGCACCTCAAACAAATGTTTCATTAACCCACTATAGAATGGATTGACCTGGGAGTCATGGTCTGTTTTGAGAAGAAAAAAAACATGCCACTCGATGCGGATTCGAACCCAAGAGCTTCGGGCGGGCAGGCGAGCGTGGAGCTACTACGCTACCACGGCTCACACAGAGGAAGTGGAATATAGACAATTAGCCTTACGTTGAGAAAATATTAAATAAGACAGGCACTGGAATTATATAAACAAAAGCAACACATGCTTAAATATGTTTATACCCGCCGTTTGCTGCCTTATTTCCCCCATTTATGGACTGGGTGTCTAAAGATTCCGTCGCTCAGCTACTGAGCTAAGTCGCTGGTACGAAACCATGAGCTGTGAATTTCATTTAGAATGTTGTTTTACCGTTGTGCCCACAGCGGTTTTGTGTTATGTACTGTATTAAAATGGTAGACCGAATTGCGTATACTTATTTAGTATCGTGATTTCAGTTGCCGGCTTTCGTGATTGTTTGCTCCCATTAACAGCGAGCTGTACTTTTGGTGAGGGTGTTGGCACATCTGACGGCTGCTTTGTGCATTTACTCTGCATGTGCTGGTATTCATATATTCTTTATTATATTTTCAAATGAGACAGTTGATGCCATTTTGTGCGATTTCCACTGGGCACAGAAAGGGAGCAGTTTTGGGGTCACCTGTCTTCAGTGAATGTGCAACCTCCGACTAACTAAGTAATGAACATCACCAAACCTTCAGATGAAAGACAGGATTGCAAAATCATGACCTCCAGTTTCTTATTAAGATTAGGTATAAGCTGAAGAGGACAAGCATGACCCTCTAGTAGTTTATTCTTTAAAATAGACAATTTTATTCAAGGAATATTGATAACGTGAAACAGAGTTGCTATCGCAAGAGTGACATACACCTGACACCATTAGAGTGACATACATTTTTTATCACTAGATGGAAACACATGTGATAACACTAAAGTGACAGATAATTGATACTATTAGAGGGAAACACACAAGATATCACTAGAGTGACAAACAAGTGACATCACCAGAGTACCCACGCAAGTGATATCACTAGAGTGACAGACAACTAGCATCACCAGAATGACACACAACTGATATGAAAACGGTGGTACACAACTGGCATCACTGGAGAT